CGGCGGTGTGCACAGGGGTCATGCACGGCGGTGTGCACAGGGGGCAGCACGGCGGTGTGCACAGGGGGCATGCACGGCGGTGTGCACAGGGGTCATGCACGGCGGTGTGCACAGGGGGCAGGCACAGCGGTGTGCACAGGGGGCAGGCACAGCGGTGTGCACAGGGGGCAGGCACAGCGGTGTGCACAGGGGGCAGGCACGGTGGTACTCAACCTGAAGCACACATATTTGAGGCTGGCCCTGTGGGTAGATGCTGAGATAACCATGATGGGGGGGGACTGGCCTTTGGTTACTTTGATTAGCAGTACATGTGTATGCTGCTGGTGCAAGATTTAATGGGAGTTGGGGCTGGAGAGATGGCTCAGTGGTTAAGAGCACTGCCTGCTCTTCCAAAGGTCCTGAGTTCAATTCCCAGCAACCACATGGTGGCTCACAACCATCTATAATGGGGTCTGGTGCCCTCTTCTGGCCTGCAGGCATACACACTGACAGAATATTGTATACATAATGAATATATATATAGGAGTGAATTTGTGCAGCCTCAGAACCCAGGGAGTATACAGTATTATTTGTTGAGGAGGAACTGGGTTCCCCAGGATTTGGACAAGACCACTTTTTATCACTCCTGAGCAAACTCCATGGGGACAGATAGAAAGACATGGATGTCCTCTCTGGAGATTCTGGGAGATATGAGGAACACAAACAGGGCCTCCCAGACACCTGGAGGAGGCCCTGGGCCACCCACTGTTTCTTTATAGGTTCTAGCAGATAGAGCCATAGAAGAAGCTGACCAGGGGTTTGAGCTGAGTAGTAAAGCAGAGGTCAGGGGTCAGAGGTGGAAAGATGCTGCAGACTTTCCTACTTTGTTTATCTTGAGTTAAGGTCTCTCTGTATAGTCAGCCAGGGGTAGTTGGTCACCTTGGGATCAGCCTTTGTTATGTTTTTGTTTTGGTCTTTTTGAGACAGGGTTTCTCTCTAGCTTTGGAACCTGTCCTGGAACTAGCTCTTGAAGACTAGGCTGACTTTGAACTCACAGAGATCCGCCTGCCTCTGCCTCCCAAGTGTTGGGATTAAAGGTGTGCGCCACCACCACCGGGCTGGAATCCGTCTCTTGAATTTGTAGGACTGCCCCAGTTGAAAGGCAGCCCTGAGCTTCACCTTCTGTCCCATCTACCAAGTATGTAGGGCCAACCGAGCAGGCGATGTCCTGTAGTTTGTGTGGAAGGCAACTGTCTGCCTGATAACATTGGCCTCTCCTGGAGTGGTCCCAGCACTTGACACCATCTGATCCTTCCTACTGGGCTTCTCTTCCATCAAAACCCATTCTGATTGGTCCTTCTAGTCACTAAGTATGTGACCATCATTCTTCTCTGATGTCATCACAAACCCTGGGTTCCTATTGGTCTCCTTGGGTTCCAAAGCAATTGTGCCATCAGTCCCCATAGAAGGGCCCCAGGAGTCTGCAAGAGAGGGGAGTGTCCTGGGTCAGTCCAGCACAGAAGGATCCCCACTGAGGGCTGCTCACCTGCCCTGGGGACTCAGAACACACATGACCTGCCCTACTGGAACTCAGGCAGGCACCTCCCCAGGAAGCCCCAAGGATCGCAGAGATTCACGGGATACACTGAGTCCCTGATGTTCCTACCTCTCGCCAGCACCCTTCAACACCACAGAAGCAGCCAACATGCCAGTCACCAAGTGCCCAAGAAAATCAGAGCCCCTGTGGAAGGGGTGGGACTGGAAAGCCCAGAAGAATGGACTGAGGCACCAAGTATTTGCAGTGAACGGCGATCACTATGTGGGCGAATGGAAAGACAACTTAAAACATGGTGAGCAGGGGGTCCTCGAGGGGTCAGTGTGGGGTCAGAGTGGACGGGCAAGGCAAACCTAAGCAAAACAACCAGGAAGTGGTAGCACTCGGGAGGCAGGGGCAGGGTGAGTTCGAGGCCAGCCTGATCTACAAAGTGAGTTCCAGGACAGTCAGGCCTATAGAAACCCTGTCTCAAACAAACAAACAACAACAACAAAACCCACAACCAAAAGCAGTGTACAGAATTCCCTGGGAACATAAGAGGTGGTGTTCCCATCCTCCTAGGGGGTAAATGTTGATCAGTGTACAGAATTCCCTGGGAACATAAGAGGTGGTGTTCCCATCCTCCTGGGGGTAGATGTTGATCAGGACAAGCAAGGGGCGTTCCCATGCTTTGGCTCTGAAGCCCATCTCAGCCATGGCTTCAGCTGAGCAAGGGTTTAGGGACACTGGTAGGATAGAGGTCTTCAGAAACCAGCCTGGAGCTGGGGCTCTGGGGGTGGAGCTGGGCCCCTCACTGCCTTCTGATAGGCTGGCTGAGCCTGGGGCTGGAAGACAGAAAATGGCTTGCCGTAGGGGCTCCGGGCTTCAGACCCCCCTGACGCTCCAGAGAAGGTGGATCACAGGGTCTGGGCCTCAGAACACAGGCAGGACCAGTCCAACCCCCAAAAGTAACTCAGCTTCCACTTACTCCTGTGTGCCTGGGCTCAGGTCTGACCAGCAGGGGGCGAAGGTGTTCTGGAAATACCATGCAAACCGGGGCGGGGTGCCGGAGGCTTTATTAAAAGTCTTCAGAGTCTCACACTGCAGTCTTGCCAATTCCAGACTTAACCACCGTCCTCTCCTGCCTTCCGAAGTTATCTACACTAAAACCATGAGCCTGCAGTGTTAGAATCCCAGTTCTACCAGCTACAGTCAGGAGGTAGTCATTCCCATACTCTGAGCCTCAGTTTCCTCTCCTGTTAAGTGGAAACACTGCCAGAGAGGAGAGGGAAGGGAGTAGAGACAGAAACCAGTAGGGAGCCGGGTGATGTTGGAACTGGGCAGAGAGGACGAGAATGCAGGGGCCAGCTAAGAGTCTAAAGTTCAGACCTTAAAAAGTAGAATTAGAGTTAGGTAGATTGATATACCTTGATGGAGGAACCGACCTGAAGTCAGTGTAGCTGGAGCAGAGAGGTGGGCCAGGATTGGTGTGGTTTTATTATTACAATTATTGGCTCAGGAGGCTGAGCCACCCTCTCTCAAACAAAAGAAAGTATGTGGCAGGGAGCCAGGGGGGATGGTGCATTCCTGTAGTTTCAAGCACTTGGAAGATGATGCAGGAAGATCACGAGTTCAAATCCAGTTTCCGCTACACAAATAAGTTCAAGGTCAGCCTGAGCTACAAGAGACCCTATCTCAAAACAAAATAAAGTTTAAAAAGGAAGGAAGGAAGAAAAAGAGCAGTGGCCAGCTGTGGAGGCTCATACTTTTACTCCCAACACTCCAGAGGCAGAGGCAGGAGATCTCTGTGCATGTGAGTTCAAGACCAGCCTGGTCTGCATAGAAAGTTCCAGGCCAGCTGGGCTGCATAATGAAATCCTGTCTCAAAAATGAAACAAATAAAACAAACAGGGGTGAAGAGAGGAAGGGAAAAAAAGAGAGAGAATGAGAGAGAGACTCAGGAACAGCTAACCGTCCAATAAATATACTGTGCCTCATGGACCACTGTGAGCCTTGTCTTTATTTAAAAAAAAAAGTTTTATTTTATGGGGGCTGGAGAGATGGCTCAGCGGTTAAGAGCATTGCCTGCTCTTCCAGAGGTCCTGAGTTAAATTCCCAGCAACCACATGGTGGCTCACAACCATCTGTAATGAGATCTGGTGCCCTCTTCTTGCCTGCAGGCATACACACAGACAGAATATTGTATACATAATAAGTAAATAAATAAAAAAAAGTTATTTTATGTGCATGAGCGTTTTGCCTTTATGTATGTATATGGACCATGTGAGTGCCTGGTACCCAGGGAGATGAGAAGAAAGCATTAGATCCCGCTGGAACTGGAGTTCTAGGTGGTTGTGCATGCTGGGAACAAAAGCCAGGTCCTCTCTGCAAAGGAAGCAAGTACTCTCACCACTGACCCAGCTCTCCATCCCCAAGCTTTGTCTGTCTTTATTACAGGACAAACCTTGTTGAAAAGAAGGGAACAGGCTAGTCAGCACTGTGTGTGCCAAACACGTGTTGGATGAAGGGTGAGTCTGCCCTTGTCAGGAATAACCTAGATCAAATTTTTATCTCACAATGTGAATATTTTATTTCATAATATTTCAAATATTGTTAGGCAGATGTCCTACCACTGAGATATGACTGAAGCCCTACCTGCTCTAGATTTAAAAACCCAAGGGTTGGGCCTGGGAGATCGCTCAAGTATTGTTCACTGGTGTCAGTGGTACACACCTTTAAGCTGAGCATGCAGGAGGCAGAGGCAGGTAGAGCTCTGAGCTGGAGGCTAGCTGGGTTTACATAGCCAGTCTTAGGCCATCTGGGGAAACATAGTGTAATCATGTCTCAACAATAACAAAACAAACAAGAAAGCTGAGAATCTGAATTCAGTTCCCAGCACCCACTTCCAGTGGCTCATAATCACAGTAACTTCACCTCCCAGGATTATAGCACCCTCTCCTGGCCTCTGTAGGTACTACATTCACATGACATTCACACAGGCACATAAAAATAAATCTCTAAAAATAAATACTATTTTATAAATAAAATTTAAAATCCAAGGGCTAGGAATGTATCTCAGTGCTTGTCTTACCAAGTTTCTACTGTTGTGATGAAACAGCACAGACCAAAGCAACTTAGAGAGGAAAGGGTTTATTTCTGTCTGTCCTTCCACGTTACAGTTCATCAGCAAAGGGAGTCGGCAGGAGCTGATGCAGAGGCCAGGGAGGAGAACATGACTGGCTTGTTCTTGGCTTTCATTTTTTAAAAAAATTTATTTATGTGTGTAAGTTTTTTGCTTGTATGTATGTATGCATGTGTGTATGTATATGCACCATATTCATGTCTATGGAAGACTGTGAGACAAGGGTGCTGGGAACTGAACTTTGATGCTCTATAAGAACAGCAAGGGTGCCCAACCACTGAGCCATCTCTCCAGCTAAACCACCCCTAGCCTGCTTCCCCTCCCCCCACAGCACCCAGGAACACAGGGGTGATAGCATCCACAGTGAGCTGTGCCTTCCCACACCAGTCATCAATCAAGAAACTGCCCTGCAGGTTTGCTCACAGGTCCAATCTGATGGGGACACTGTCGCCCTCTTCAAAAGTCACTCTAGCTCATGCCAAGTCGCTAACGTAAAACTAGCTAACACAGTGATAGACAGCTTGCCTGGCACTGCGGAAGCCCTGCACTCGGGAGGCAGAGGCAGGCAGATCTCTGTGAGTTCGAGGCCAGCCTGGTCTATAAGACCTAGTTCCAGGACAGGCTCCAAAGCTACAGAGAAACCCTGTCTTGAGCCCCCCCCCCACAAAAAAAAATCAGGAACACCTTTTCCAGCTAGCCCTGGGGCCCCTGCCAGCAGCTTTTGATTTAACTTTGTTTAGGGAATGAGAAGGGGACAGAAAATTCTGGCCTGCTAACGAGCCAGCAGGGGAGTTGAGGAAAGATGCATGCAGACTTGACATGGGTACTTGGCTTCCAGTGCTTTCTTTCATGGTGACTCATTCATTTGTTCATTCATTCATTCATTCATTCATCCATTCCTTAGATTTATTCATTGCAATCAGACTGATTATGGCCAGGAATAGTAGCAATAATAACTGTAATCTAAATCCTTGAGAAGCAAGGATCAGGAAATAGGCAGGAGGGTCATGAGTCCAAGGACAGCCTGGGAAATAGGATAAGGTCTGTCTCAAAAATCCATAATATGGGACTAGCGATGTAGCCATCAGCTGATAAATGGCTTCCCTGACGTGCATCCTTGGATTCGAATCCCAGTACAGTATAAATCTAGGCATGAGTGATATGTACAGGTGAGGCCAGGCATTGCCACAGCATGTGTGTGGAAGGTAAACGAGAGACGTTTGGAAGTCAGTTCTTTCCTCCTGCCGTGGATTCCGGGGCTGAAACTCTGGTGGTCAGGCTTGCATGGCCGAGCCGTCTCTCCAGCATGGTGCAGTTATTAATCACAATGCTGTACATCGGTCCTCTAAAACATAGACACCTTACGCTGAGAGCCTTTACCCACATCTTCCTCTTTCTCTCCTCCCAGCTCCTGGTACCCATCATTCTATTCTCTGTTTCTGAGTTTGGCTTCTTGAGATTCCACATAAAAGTGACATCCCTTGGTATTTGTCTTCCTGTGTCTGGTTTATTTCCCTTTTCTTTCTTTCTTTCTTTCTTTCTTTCTTTCTTTCTTTCTTTTTTTTTTTTTTTTTTTTTTTTTTTTTTTTTTTTTCGTACCACATAGCACAAGCTAGCCTGAAGCTTGCTTATGTGCCCCAGGCTGGCCTCAAATTCACAATCCTCTTGCCTCCACCTCGAGAGTGCTAGAATTATAGACATGTACTATCACAGCCAGCTCCTGCTTCATTTGTAATGTAAAATTCAGCTACACACG